CAGACAGACTCAGTCAATTTTCACTCTACTTCCTGGGCCTTAACGCCAGTTTGGTCAAGAAATGTAATATGGTTGAACTACTCAGTTATTGCAGTTTCTCAGATGCACAGGCAGTAAACAAAAGTGATGTGAGGTTCAGAGCATGACAACCTCTGTCAAATGTAGAACACAGAAACCGGTCTGAAGCAGCCTGCTGTAGAGAAGTCCCGCCTCCCCTCCCTCCCTCAGCCCATCCATTATCCCTTGGTTTCGTTGGAAAGGTGGACCTCTGCTGGAGTCCAGGGGTACCAAATGTTGTTTACCAAACCTTCTGCACCCCAGGACATTCCAGTTACATGTTCATTCAATTCACTTTGGCATTTACAAAAAAAAATACAAAAAAAAAAAACCAACTTGTCTCATCAAGTGCAATCTTTCTCAACTATGTAAAGTTGTTGCCAGCTGTGACACAATTTCTCGTCTGACAGCAACCGTTTTCCTCAAACCACATCAGTTTATTGTGACTTTTTTTTATACCCACCTGTTGTTTTGGTCTGCTGGAGTTATATAAATATTAGCTCACTGTCAAATATTACCACATGCTTGTTCTATTTTCAGAGTCTATTGATCAGTTTGGTTAAACCCTGGGCCACATCGACAAAAAAAAAAAAAAAAAACATTCAGTGGAGAGGTCAGAGACACTCAGTTAGAGGAAGAGAACCAGTGGAACTGTCCTCACTGTGGAAACACTCATGCTGAGAGTCCAGGTGATCAGACTGACATCCAAAAACACCTTGCACTTGTTACCCAGAATTTGTTACGAATTTCCGGAGCCGCATTGGAATTCAGTCTCCATACCCTCACTGTGTATGTTTCCCTCGTGCAGGGCCCACGTATAGACTGGTGAAAGCCAAGGTTATGCAACTGCCCCGGCCGCTTCAATAAACTGCTTTACCGTGGGTGAATGGAGGAGTTGAGAATGACGAGGGTCCCATTGTCAGTGGTCGTTGGTATTCAGAGCACTGCAGAATTACAATTAGGACCCTTGTTGATTTTAATCAAACTCCACTGTATCTCTAGCCCTAATCTGTGAGGAGCTTTCTTCTCTGTGTCACAGGGATGGACAGAAGGAAATCCTCCAGTTTACTGCTCAAATTTTGGCCAAAGTAGAAACAAAATACTGCATAGAGTGACTTTGAGATGAGGAAAAAGAGAAAAGTGAATGTAAATAAATACATTTAGGGTTTTAGATTTGAGAAATAGTTAACATGAATCACACAATTATCACACAAAACATTTTATTTTAGATACAAATGTTTTTTCCCAAAATTGAATGTTGAATGTGAGAGAAAATACTCCGTCTGTACTCGTGGCCATGTAATTAACTGGTGTACTGTCCAGTATTTAACGACAGATGTCAACATGGAGGGGCTCCAGGTGTTCACATGCCACCTGGATGAGGCTAAAGCAGTAAAAGTTAGACGACTCTTTTTATTCTGAAAATACACTGCCAGACATGCTCTGTGGTACTAATTAATGAATGTATTACTTCATTAATTATCCTCTGTGCACTTCTGCTGCCATAACCATCTGCTTCGAGGTTCATTAGGTAAATTAGCGCATTTGGAAACCATAGCTCGCTCATTGCATTGCCTTGACTCTGTCAATACAGTACTTTGACATATGATTATGGGTTGAACACCAACAGACAGCGACGAAGATGAGAAGTCGAGGACACGTTGGAACTTGTTGACCACTGACATTCAAACCTAGCCATAAAGAAAGAACCCTCACCATTCCTCCACCATGTGGCCCGGCCCAGTGAGGCCGTAACCTGCACTTGTTTAAATGAGAACCTGTCCCCTGTGGCTAAATGAACCAGAGAGTACATGGTGATAACAAAAGCCCTGGATTATTTTAGTCTAAACAGCCAGTCGTTTCGTGGATTCTCCTTGTCCTTTCTCACAGTCTGTGGGTGAAAGCTGAGAGAAGTAGGTTAAGGTTATATAACCAGTGCCTGCTCTGAAAGGCAGATCCTCGGTGGCTCGTCTTCCCCTAATCTTTTCAGCTTGATTGTGCCTTCCATCCCCCCTCTGACTGCCGGCTCATTCAGCTGAGAGTGTTCTCACACACAAGCGCGGGCACATGAACACACGGTGACAAGAACCGCCGTGCACCGGTTTGGAGCAGATAGAATTGTTGTGATTGCAGGTTTGTTGTGTGCTTGCTCGCAGCGTCTCATTACAACGGACAATCAAGATAATTTTCAGCCCTGCCCGACTGTTGACATCTTAGCTCCACAAACAGGATTCAGCACGAGTACAGATTAATGTCCAGTCAACTGGAGGAGGTCAACAAAAAGTGTGATCACACTGACAGGTTTTGAAACACTATGATGCCGGGTTTGTCTCTGAAAGTCCTTGATATGGATGAAACACACAAACAGTTTTAGACGTGTGTCAGCATTTAGATAAAATAAAATAACATTGTTTTTTTGTTTGTTTGTTTTTTGTAGAGCAGTGGAATCAGGGTTAGCAGCTCAAGATAAGAGATCAAAAAATCCCAAAATGCCGTCCAGTATACATGTTGCATCTGTAAACAGGTTTTCAGGTTAGGTTTCTACTCAGGATCAGGGTTGTTTTTGTGAAGTACATTTATAAAGCAGTTACACCAAACATAAATTGTTTTATTATTAACTATTTATTGTGACACCAATGACAATGTGGAACTGTTTTCCTGATTAAAAAAATAGATTCACGGAGCAGTGTGAAGACACGGAGACAAGGAGGTTCAAAGGGCAGAAATTGATGTCCATTTCTTCCTTTTTTGTCACATGTACGCTAAACTGAGGGGGTAAAGTGTGATGTATCTCCTTTACCTTTGCTCACCAAGGAGCATAAACACGTAAATATTCTCCTCACGGGTTGGCTGCTTACCTACAAACCTTTTCACCTGACCGGGATAGTAAATACCCTGTGCCTAATCCGGCTGAACATTTAATGTGTTTTTATGAGCCTCCTTAGTCAAGGCCAACAGGCAGAAGGTCCAGGGACAATTTGACCTCAATGCTACGTGATTCTTAGAATGCATTTGAAAAAAAGTGAGGTGGAATTGAGTTCATACCTTCTTACAATATTAACTTTTCTGGGACCAGTCCAGTCACAGTCAACCTCTTTGTACATTGCTGATGCTACAGGACAGCCTCAGTGTATTGGCTGACTTCCTGGCCTGGTTTATCAGCAGCGATGACGAGTCCAGATCAACCATCTGCTTCTCTGAAACTCTCAACTAAAGTCTTTAATAATCTCAATAAATGTGTCAACAAATAAAAGAAAAGAAAAAACAGGCCAAACATAATCATAATTAATGTATTAATGATTGCACTGTAATGTAAACTCCTGTGAATGAACTGTAGTCAGTAGAGCTCCCTCAGTTCAGTCCTAAAAATGAGGAGTCAGTTTTTGGTATCTGTGTTAGAAAGTAGGACAATGTTTCATGAGCACAAGGATGGAAGGGGGCTTCATCATCACAGTGCGTGTTGAAATTGTTATTAGCAGAAATCAGAGTTCCAATAACAAGTCTTTTTTGGCAAGCAATGATATTTTCTAAAAAAAACATCCTAGAACACAAATATTTGCCTATTCCTCAGTCGACCCTGCAGCTTCATTTCAGCACAATACAATTAATATGTTCTTACCCGATATTTGTTCCATAACTGCCAAAAACAATGACCCTGAGATACCCGCGGTGGTATACTGACCTCTATCGGTATGATACCATTTTATGTAACTCTGGTTGAGAGTCATCCACATGGCTCTGGGGCCCTCCAGTGGCAATGGTTGCACACTTACACGTCAACAGATGGGAGCAACCAAAGCATCAGAGTGCTGAGTAGGGTTTCCAGTGAAAATACGGATTGTCAATCAACTGCGAGGTCTGCGGTTTAATTCCCGGTTCTGTTTGCCATAAGTAATTTAATGTTAATGCCTCATTAATTGTGATAAACAAAACAGTAACATATGAAATTTGTAATTAGCCAAAATGTCACCACCAACCCCCCACAGTCGTGCGCCCCCTGTTGTAGGCATCTGACTCAGTCTTTGCTTTGATTACAGCATGTGAATTTGATTTAATGAATGTTTAAAAATTCAAGCTCTCTTTGGACAATTCTTTCTAAAGAGATCAACTACTTGTTAACACAGTGTGTCTGATCATATTCAAGAAACTGATTAATATTAAAATGTAGCAAGGCCACCTGGATAGTATTTTTCTTTCCTCACCCCAAACCCAATACAGAACATACATGTCACATGAACATACTGTACACGTTGTACTCAGTCTCTTTATTGTTTTCCAAAGGATTCACATAGTGCCAGAATGAAAATTACAAGCTTCACAAAAATACTATGTAATTCACATTTTTCAGATTTTAAAAGTGCTACAATAATTTAAAAAGAACTACACAGATAACACCAATGATCCACAGCAGTCAGTTTCTCTGAACATGCAAAATGCCAAGATCAGCGTCGTCATTGGACTAAAGCTCTGACTTGGACAGAGTAACAGCTCCGTATCAGAGGCAGCGCTGCAAGTAATGAAGGTGTGAGTCTGTGAGAGTGAAAGCGCTGGTCGGTGCATGCTTATTTGTTGGCAGGATTTTAATCTCCTGCCACATCGTAAAAGTCTGAGCTGGAACGATCACAACTGCATGCAGGTGTTATATCCACAAACACAGAAATTGAGGCTTTTCTAACAGCGAGAAGTCAAAATCCAAGCCAAACAAATGGCTTTCCAATAATAACTGCTACTGTGCATTTCTTTAGAGATAGCCCTCTGTAGATTAGTCCTGAATTCTCAGTCTAAGGCAATTTTCCTGCCACAGGAAATCATCTGTAATTTTTCACACATCAAATTCATCACTGACAAAAATACATCACAGTGAAGGGAGCTTTGAATATCTCTTGGCTTTATCATAGACCTATGGGAGTTTAAAAACTGCTAAACAGCAAAAACAAATTTAGGCTCTTGAAGATGGATTTTTTCCTCAGATATTTTTTCAAATAATAAGTTTTAACATACATTGATCATATTCCAATAGTAGTGACAAACGCAGGTAATACTGAAGGACTGTGACACTGACAAGTCAGTTGATGAATGACACCACGTGTAGTTCTGAAGGTTTGCATTGCAACAAATTGTCACCAAACGGCGAACAATGCATCTTTTTGACACTGCGGTGCATGAGCACACGTTAAAATATAGTTTAGTCTTTCACATTCAAAGACATCTTTATATGCCTGTAGTTTAATCTCAAGAGAGCACATATTGCTTTGGCGCCTCTGTGACCTAGAAACTTCTACCTACCCAAAACAAGTTCAGCACAGTGAACGGCAAATGAAAATGCCAAATGTCATTCCTGGTGCACTTGTCTCTCCAGTTTAACTCAGGTTTTTACTTCTGACCCCTCACATAAAGTATAATCTTAACCTTTTCAGTAAAAGTCAACCATCCCATTTTCAGGAGAATGGGCTTGAACCAATGTCGACAACAGGGACAACAACAGACTCAATGTTTATTTTTCAGACAGAGTTTGATTTCGGCACACTGTTCATAATGCCCACAGAGGAATTTTAATTAGAATTTCATAACCAGCACTTGGACTGCTCATTAATTTTGCATGCTAATTACCAGAGAGCAGCACAGTGAGGAAAATACAACATAGTGCTGAGAACTTATCACAGTGGAATGAACTCAGACGAATATTTACACTGCCAACACTCCGGCCTTGGGAGCTTTTTCTTTTCTCTCAGGCAGCCACTTCGTCACGGGGCAGCTTGAGTTTCACCTCCTCTCCTGCTGCTGTGGAAGCTGAGTAGACAGCGGTGGCACCAAGGGGAGAAGGGCCATTGGTCTCCATGGTAAAGAGCCTACAAGAATTTAGGGCTGCTGCATCAGAGGCCTCCTTCTCTGGGCTGGACGCTCTCGATGATCCAGGAGATGATGTGGGGCTGAGCTGCACAGCTGTAGTGTCCTGCAGGGTGTGCTCACTGGTCTCAATTTCAAATGCCGCACCACCGGTCAGGATGCTGTTCCCCATCAGTCCTGCTCCTCTGCCGCCCACCCTTGACCTCTGTGAACTGTGGGGTGGAGGGAGGCGGCTGCACACACAACAGGCCCCGAAAAAAGTGAAGGCCACCAGGAGTAGGATAGGGCCGATGATGATGGGGGGGTTGGCAGAAGGCACCAATGTACTGAAGGCAAATGCTCCCACCAGGGTGATGTTGAGTCCAGCCAGCATAATGCACAGGCCACAGGCACAGCAGAGAGCTGGAGAGGGCAGGCCGTGAGGACGGGACTTCCTCCTCTTCTTCTTCTGGGACTCTTTTTTTGGCACTGGAGTGCCAGTGCTTCTGTCACTGATCACCATGATTTCCTCTCTGCTTGATCCTTTGGGGTTATTCAATCTCCTTGTGTTTCTTTTTCAACTCTTCCTCATGGCAAGGTCTAAATCAACGGTGTCCAACAGACGGCAGGAAAACAACTTTGCCTGTGAGTGATAAGACAGGAAAGAGTTTTTCTCATGCATTCTACTCTCCTAAAATCCACCAACTCCACGATGAAGAAGAGTTAAAGTTTTGCATATTTTTTATTGCATACTAACAATTTCATCATTTGGATTAGTCACAAAACACACATCTGCCTGTCCTTGTTTTCCGGCAAGTCAAGATCATATTTTTCACCTTTGTAATTAATCATGAGTACCTGTACTCCAGAGCTACCATGTGATAAATCACATTAAAAATGTTTAATTGTTTCCCAGCACTATTATCAATATAAAGTAAAAATAGTCCTAACTGTTCCCCATACCTCTTGCGACCCACCTGAGGGTCACAACCCAGTCTTTTGGAAACTATGCCCCACAGTATCCATCCAGAGCACACCCATTCATTTACAGGGCTACTGTATTAAACAACGAAACAAAACCTGTAAAGCTCAATAGTACAATGCAATAGTATATACAGTACTCTGCTGGTCGGAGTATATACAGTATGTCTGCAATGCACATAAAACAATAGGCTTGCATATACACTGAGCAGACACAACATGCAGTCAGCACATGATTGACTGTGGAGGCAGATCTGGGTATTTATGGATATTAATCCAAAATATACAGAGAAAAAGTATAGACAGAGAGAAAGTTTGACATTATAGATAGTTCACACTAAACTGGCATTCACTGGAAAGACACAAAATAAATGTTATTTATTACTTTAACGTTGTGGCTAATGGCTGTAGATGCTGTTATCATTGAAAAGCACATTGCATTAATAATATTAATATTAATAATTAGTATTATTATGATGATTATGCTGCCCATCTATAAAAACAGTTCAAATGTCTGGACGAGTGGCTTCTGCTCCGAACATATTGAAGCACATGTGCTTTCACATTCCTGTGAAATAAAAAGGTTAACATCTTACTCTGGGTGTCGACAGCCTGCAGGTTCTTCTTCCCATTGTTGCATCCATAGAATTGTTCAGCGCGATCTCCACTCTTTAATTGGGAGCCAGTGAGAGGAGCGGTGGGAAGGACGCGCCAACACCGGCAGAGGGATTTTCAATGTGCTCCAAGCTTCCGACACCACATGTCATGGTGGAGGTAGTGATGATGGTGATGAAGATGGTGATGATGAAGATGATGAAGATGACAGCCGCGCAGTCAGAGACCACGGGGAGGCTCCATGTGAGGAGATCCGACCTCCGGAGGCACAGCAGGAGAAGAGAAGGAGGAGAGGAGTCCTGTGATTGCTTCTGAATGCGCACACGAACGCATCATGACCGCGCACAAAGCACCTGACAGGTCATCTTCATCAGCATCACCCTCATCATCATCATCTTCATCACCACGCGGCGGACATGGAGGAGAGTCTCGCCCAGTCTGTGCCTGTGTCTCCCAGCGTGAAGTCCACACACTTCTTTAATTAACACCGGATGAGACAAATACATCATCCAGACATGAAACTCCTCCTCCTCTACCTCCCCCTCTTCCTCGTTCTCCATCACCTTCTCCTCACCTCATTCACCCGTCCTCCAGTCCAAAAACTGAACTCTATAATTTAATGGTACATTTAAACCACGTGTTCCCTTTCCCGTTGGACAAAGGTTAGACGGCATTTTTAAATTACAGACCTTAATCTTGATTGCACTTGTTGCTGTTGGTTTTTATTTTAAGCAGGGCGATGGAACTTTTTTACACAAACACAGACAAATACCAGCAAAGACGAAATGTAATGCAGTATACGTGAATAAGAAACAAAACTGTATGTACACAAGTTTGTTTTTTTAAATACTCCCCTGGACTTTATTTTAAATCATTCAATTATTAATACCTCCTCATTCATTTCAAGATCCATATTTTTAGAACCACTGCCCTGCATCATTTCAACAGGTGTGTAGAGAATGTTGATGTATTCATCACTGTTGCAGATTTTTATGTTTGTTTTTTTAATATAAAATGCACTGACTCAAAAATGATAACCTGGAGCTTTTCACACACACACGTATGAGGAGATGATGCTACATATAAAATTTTTTTTTTTTTGTTTCAAGGCAATTTCCATTTCAATTTCCTGTCACCTAAACCCACCCTGGCTAATGTTCAGCTAATATTTGTCTCTCACTGTTCAACATCATGCAAACACAGAGTGATGGTGGCGAGTCTTTGTGATCTGGGGCCTGACAATCAAACTGATGCTTGTCATCAAGGCACTGTAGACTCCTCGCTCCCCTGTTGCTCAGACCTGTCAACACGGCTCAGCGTTATTCAACCTCACAGCGCTCTGCACTTTTTACAAGCGCTCAGCGTGCTTTCCCACAATCCTTTTCAATGCTGCAGCCCTTCAATTCATGCTCACCTGAATATCAATGCAGCGCCGGTGCTGCTCGTGCTGCTGACCGTGTGAGGCGTGGGTGTATCTGGTCACAGGTACAAGCTGTATTACCATTAGGGATAATGTTAGCGATGGAACCTGAGCAAAATTACGTATGAGACCCAACATCACATAACGACCATAATCATTTCTTAATTGGTGGCTATAGGAACATTGTGTGATGATGAGACGAGCAGCAAACAAGAGAGACTACACCAGGCCAACTCTCTAAAGAACAGTACCAGTACAGTTTTATCTTCAGACCAAGGAGTATCATTCGACAAACACAACAGACAGTGTAAACAGTTGGAAGATAATCAGAAACATTTGGTTTAATATTTTATGGTACGGTTGAAAAATTGTTACTTTAAACTCTTTATGATATAGGTCATCTTGAAAAATAAAAAAAAAGACACTTCAGGGCAGGTCAGGGCCTTGATCAGGTAGTGACTGTTTTTGTTTCCACCTTGAAAGGACGTCAGGCATGTCTGAAGATGTCCTGCAGCAGACAAAAGCATCAACATTTACATTCGCTTTTTAACGTTGAATACTCTTAATATGCAACATTAAAAAATATTGTGTTCTTCAGTTTTGTTGCCAAAAGATAGATAGATAAAAATATAGAAATAATCGTTTACATACAAGTTGCATAACCAGGTATGGAATAACAATATTTTTGACCAATGCATTTTACATCCTATATCCTGTCTCTCCAGGGTCTGTGAAAATGTGGAGCCAAAGCAATTTAAATATGTTTACAAAGCTCGGTGTCACAGCAGTCGACACATGTTCTGCCTGGATGATAACTGATCTAATCAGAAATGACTGAAAGCTATCCACTATCAAGGTTGCCATAGCAACAACATATAAAGTGGCTGACGATGAAAAGGAAGCAATGCCTTGTCACTTTTACTTTTGCAAGTCGCTGCATCGTGCTCTAGTCCTGAAACGGTCCTCAAATCAACAGCTATGGCTAAAGGTTTGGGGGATTACTGCAGTATTTTTTATGACATTTCTTTTACATACAGGATTAAAGTGACTAATTATATTTTGGTGGTGGTGAAATATTAAAATAATAATTTCATCTCAAGCAAATTGCATAATAAATGTTCTATCTTTGAAACCCTGAATATCTTCTTCACGCTTGTTTTGCTCCACACATACATAAATACTTACATAATTACATATTCTACAAATACTATCTCTTAGTTTTACCCTTCATCAGGGTTGGTCTCTGCCCCCTGCCCTGCATCCACAAACGTGCCCATACGACTCTTGCAGCGTTCCAGATTGAGCTGACTCTGTGTCCCTGCGTGACCGCAACACAAAGAGTTTATGATTAGACGTTTCATGAAGCGTTAGCAATCCAAAGCCAAGGCCAATAGTATCAATACACACTTGGCTCCATTGCCTTCACTTGTCACTTCACATGACTTACGCCACTGTTTTGTTATGGGGTTTTTTTAATGCACAGTTTCGAGTGTGGTTCATTCAGATGTTTCTTTCTGTTGCCTTCGTTTCTATTACTGTTACTATTGCTTTGTGTACAATTTGGTAGAGTCCCCTTTTTTTAATAAAAATATACACGATCTTTAGATGTTTGTTTGTGACAAATAATTGATTTGACTCAATTTATGACCATGCTATGTCGCTGTTAGCAGAAAATGATATATGATGCTCTGTGTGACATACTTTTCAGGAAAGTAATAAGCCACGAAGGGTAAAAACCTAGGGGCGCCCTCATCTGTCAGCCAGAAATGAAAAATAAATATATAAACTGAAAATGTCTTCAGGTACCTCAGGATAATATAGTTTTGTTGTCCTGGAGAGAACAATGACGGAGCACATACACAGGTTTCCTCTCATAATGTTTTTTATTATTATTATTATTTGGTCGTATTTCATTTGGAATGAAAGAGACCCTTTCCTATTGAACAACACTAATAAACGTACCTTTTCAAACTGCAATCTACAGACCACTATCAGGCTCGTTAAAAACAATGACTCCCTTCAGGTGTCGAGGTTTAATTAATTTGAGCCGAGGCTGCCGCAGATACTTACCCTCCCGTCTTATTGTTTCGATCTGTTGCTCCGGAGCAGGGTTGGCAGCTGCAGGGTGCACTCTGAAGTTTCCTAGGAATTTAAGACATATTCTGAAACAAGCTGTTTCGTGGACAGAAGAAATATTGTTCTGTAATTAACGCAGTGGACACAACACAGGATGTGTGATTAGGTGATGGGGCAATAATTAAAAAACCTACCAAAGGAGGGAATTATATGGTTGATGTTCAGCCAAGCTTTTATGAAGGGGTATATTGATATGAGCAGGCCTGGAAACAGAAGTCATTATTAATGGGACAGCTGATAGCAGTGGTAGCAGTGGATTTATTACAGCGCCAACTTCTCTGATTGCTGTTGACAGTGTTAATTAGATATTGTGAGGTATGAAATTATTCATAGTTAGACATTAAAAATGAATTGTTACTGGTTACCACGGGTGACTAATAGTAGTGATTTCAATTAACAGGCACATCTCTCAGTGTACTTTTACGTTTTAGCTTTTGACCTGAAAACATTTGATTGGACAGCCCTCCCTACCTTTTATTCGCAAAGAGAGTTAGCTACAAAATGTTTTGATGGTACAATGAACATGTAAGTGTGCCAAACTATATGGTATCTTTATAAACCTGCATGTTTTAACCTTATTATATTTAGTTATTAGACAGCACTGGCAATTTTATTCCTATTAAATATGGCCGTGGACTTTTCCTACCAGTGAGAAGAGCTGGCATGAAAGGCTTTCAGGTCCAGAGGGTGGGTGTGATACATGTCTGTGCCTAAAATGTCATGAAACTGCAGAAGGAGTGAAGAAAATCTGGCAAGGACACTCTGTCCATGCCTATTAGTCAGCCTGTGTATGTGTGTGTGTCTGTGTGTGCGCAAGGCAACACACACATAGGCCTCAAAAACAAATAATTAGATGCTACTTAGTGTGCACTCACTCTGCAAGAACGAATGTCCCTGTCAAGCTGCTGTCCGCAGTTTTGATTTGCCAAAGACTTTTGTGATGTCGCATGGATTAATTATTGAACGTGACTCAAGTCCTTGGTGAGAGTGAGTTTCACATTAACAATGTATGAGAATGTTGTCTTCCACAGATCAAAAGCCTTGTCCTTAACTCCTCTCTTGGAACGCACACTCGTTATCCTGAAAGTGCGAGTCCTCCTGCTATCAGCTGGTTTGGGTTACACTGTTATATCAGATGATGACATGTTCCCTTTTTCAACAACCTTATGGAAAATGTCACATGTCACAGAGCCAAAACTACAGGCCTGTCCACGCCTGTCTAAATATGTCAATAATATAACATGGTAGAATTATATGCTAACAACAGCTTTGGTAAATCTCCATCGTGTTTTGTGTGATAGAAATTAAGAGTTTCTTTTGAATCTGCTCAAGGCCGTGTGTTTCATTTGTGGCTCTGCTGACGAGCAGAGAATACATGTTCAATTAGGTTTGTCTTATGAATGCTTCAAGGTTTACAAACTAACAGTGCAAGATGTAAAATAAGTGTCATGTCAGTTCAATAATTTATATAATAAATGGCCACGTTTATTTTTTTGCCGTTCAACGCAGGACATGACACGACACTTAGCAATGCGTGAAGCAGCACGGGCTAATGCACAACAAGCAGAGTCTATGATAATGTGTAATGGAACTGACATGTGATTTAAATATTATAAAATAATAATATAAATGCCCTGCAACATAAAGAGCTTTGTTACTGTGTGTGTTTAACTAATTAATGTGTGACATGATGAATGAATGAATGAACAGAACACAGCTGTTTTCAAGACTGTATAACCCTGAACTGTAAGTCACACAATATGTCAACAAGAAAACCTGAGCTACAACAGCAGTTTGGGAGTATTGAAGACGCAGTAAACATTGTTTACACTTTACTGCCTAAAAATGTAATTGAATTTTTAAAATACTGAAGAGTTTCCATTCACATACTCACCCAGACCCCCTGCTCCCAGGAAAATACCTCCCACAGCATCAGCATCACACTCCCTCGAGACGCCAATAATGATGCAGCCTGCCACAATGCCAAGTAAGGCCGAGCCCACCCGCAGGCCATGGTACTCCCCGACACTGACGGGGTTCATTCAGCAGGTGTTGGCCCCCCTACTGTGCTGAACTTCAATTGACTGTTATCTACATCCGCCTCATCCACCCTTAGGTTCCCTCTGTCTAACATAGGAAGCACTTTCTCTGGCTGAGCCTCCACATCTACTCCCTGTTGCTCAAGATGTGTCATGAATGTTTAAAGCAGGAGCTCTGGTTTCTTTTGCAAGTGAAAATGAAAAAGCTGGAGTCATGTACTCTTATGACAATAACAGGTGTGCTACAAATCTGATCAATGTCACTTTGGACTTTCATCAGCATTCAGTATGAGTGAATCAGTATAGATTACAAAAAACAAATAACACCACAGTGTTAGGTCCAATAGTTCCTGTTATATTAACCCATATCAAGGGTAAGCCAAAGGAGATGAAGAAATCAATACTGACTGTCAATCAAGGATGATTTACTTGATAATTGACTAAGGCAGCAAATACAAAAACAAATGCCACTCGCTATTTTACAGCTCATCTGCCATAGTCATAAATTTGCATCTGTGCACAGCAAGATCAGAAAACTTCAATAACAGGAAATATTATGTATTTCTGTGTATTTCTATATCTCTATATTTGACCTCCATTTGAACTTTCACACCAGAAATCCTCCTTTTTGACATGCAGCATAACAAAACCACCATGTCAGGAAACATCTTTAATATACAAAACCACCATGTCAGGAAACATCTTGAAACATCATGTAGCAACAAGCCAGTTAGTTTATGTTGTATGAAGTTGACTCTAAACAGGTGTTTTGTTAGCAGCTTGTTAATTTATTTTATGTATGGAAATGCCTTGGAAATTAGGGAGGTGTAACTTATATGCTCTAGGTTGTTATCTGGAATCTTGTTCACATTGTTCACATTGAATCTTGAATCTGGTCCACAATGTTTACCAGGAAAAGAATAAAATGACCCTTGCAATAATCCTTAATTCTGAGCTCTTTTTAAATAACTGCTGTAAGCCTCTTAAATCAAAGCCAATGCATTGGAAAATACTGTAAACTGTACAGTAAGTTATGTATAATATACAATTTTAATGCTAATGCAGTTTGTCATGATTGAACCCTAACATGTAGAGTTTATCGCTAGCATTTTTACATACTGGTTGCTTAACTGATTTTGTTTGTCCAAATAATAAATCAATATATTCATTATTTTTATTCTGAAATGTCTGGCCAATTCTTAAATGTGATGGTAGAAGTTTAATTTGAATACATTTTAACTTTTACATTAGAAGATGGAGTGGCGCTTTGGCCCAGAGGCAATGTCTCTGTCATTGGTGTGGAACCCCAGGGTTCACCTCCTGGGCAAGTTCGAATCCTGGTTAGGGCGGTTGGTACCTTCCAGTGGACTCACCACCCGCAGGAAGGTTTGGTACGGTGCAATGTGATTTGGGTGGCGACTGCTCCCCCTGCGACCCGGTAACGGATAAGCGGATGAAAATGGATGGATGCATTAGTAGATGCAATTTAACAACATCAGTTTTTTCCATTGTTCTGGTAACCACAACACTATTCTTATAATTCTATAGGAACGTTAAGCTAATTAAACATCTGGTCTAGGCTTATGGAATTGACTGCATAAACAAAGAAATGTTTCTATTGGCAACACAAATTGTCTACATTGTCAACTGTTGATCAACATTAATAAACTGAAACCGTTCAAATTCCAAACGTTATCTGTCATTTGATATCAACATTTGACTTTTTTTTTAAAAATTAAAGATAAAAATGTTTCTTTGGCCCGTACGGGGATCGAACCCGCGACCTTGGCGTTATTAGCACCACGCTCTAACCAACTGAGCTAACCGGCCAGTACTCACGTCTACAGATTATAGACATGATATATATCGATATATATATTTACATATATTGTTATTGGATTGCCGTTGCATTTTAGAAAATAAGAATAAACAAACAAATTATGTTTCGACATTATTAGAAGGAAGAAGAGATAAATAATTTCAGAGCGTGCGGCGTCGTCTAACTGAAGTCATAACGATCATAGATCATATAACATTATAATCACAAATTAAATCCAGGTCTGCGGAAGACCTCGTGGCGCAACGGTAGCGCGTCTGACTCCAGATCAGAAGGTTGCGTGTTCAAATCACGTCGGGGTCATATGTTTTGTTCTTCATTTATCTGTTCCACAGTGAATTATTAGTGGCCCCAACAACTGCAAATTTTACACATAGGTGCATGTGAAGTGTAATTTTGTCACATAGATATGATACTTTTAATATTTTTGGTGAATATTATAATATTATATATATATTATACCGTTTTTGTTTCATGTTGTTAAGGATTTGTGTTGTTTCTGAGAAAGTAATGTTTTATTGGATTCCCCATTAAATGATTATAAAACTTCTTAACATTGAGTAACATTTGTTATGATATTAGGAATAAAAAAGTGGTGGGCTCGTCCGGGATTTGAACCCGGGACCTCTCGCACCCTAAGCGAGAATCATACCCCTAGACCAACGAGCCAGATGTGTGTCCGACATGTTCAAACATATATAATAATACGTTTTTGTGATGGAAAATGAGCTATATGATTGGTTGTAATTTTATTGTACATCTACAGAATTCCAACCTTTGTACTTTGCTTTTTTGACTTAATTTAACTTTTTAAATAGTTATATTTAATGACCTAAAATAGTGTAACTATGTTCTTATTTTTATAAGGCGAAATAATTACGGTAGTAAATTCTTTACGATAAATTCGTGCTACCTACAGACGAGAGTACCAAAACTTTTTGTTTTCTATTTAATGTTGCTTTAGATTGTTTCTTTAAAAATGCACGTAATTCTTTCCAGCCTGGTTTAAATACTCTGGGTAACTTGGAAAAACAGACAAAAAAAGAGAGAACACGTTGTGGTCAGTGAATACGTAGCAGTCAGCAAATATGATCAGAGCTGTCGGGATTTTTCGTCCGTCACGTGACCTACGAACAGCCATCTTGTGGAAATCGAAGGGTGAGGGAGAGAGAGAGAGTGAGAGAGATAGAGCGAGCCTACAGATAACCCAGAGAGCCACTCAACTCGAATACAAACCTTGTGCTGTCACAACAAGCAGAGGTAAGACAGCCAAAGTTTAATACACTATCATAGGGGAATTCGCACAATTAATTAAAGTTGCCATGTCAGAGAGTTATTTTCTCATAGGTTGGGGCGTTATTGACTCTTATCTCTGCTTTGCTACACCACCATGTTTACGTGGCCTCGCAGCAGCGGATCCCAGTGTCTGCGTGTGCGTGTCCGAGTCGCATAAAGTGTGGGGCGGCCTGGCAAGGAAATGTTGTTGTGAGTCCAGGCCGCGTGGAGCTAAGGTGGCTAACATGTTAGCAGGCTAGCTACTAGAGGGAGAATGTGTTTATTCCGGCGGCGTTATTTTAGTCATAATGAAATATATGAATATGGCACACTTTATTTAGGTATTTAAGTTGCTGTCAACAAACACGTACAGCAAAGCACCACACTACTAACGTTGAAGGAAAACGGTGCTGGCTAACAGGCTAGTTAGCCAACGCTACTATTGGCTTGTATCGTAAATACCTTGATGTGGCACCCGCATGTAGCCTACAGCACTTATAACAACATATGTTGTCACGTTTTTACTTAGCTGCAGTTATACTGTCAATATCAACCTACAATACACAACCTAACTGATGTCAGCTGGTTGTGTTTCGTGAACTTTGGTATTCTTGACTATGTTCGCTACTGTGTTAGTGACCGGTATGGATTTATTAAATTAACCATCACCAGTGGCCAGCAGGATTTCTATTAGGAATTCGCCATATAAGCCACCATTATGTTGTGTAAACAACGAAAAATATTTATTGAACCACTCGTATCACTTTGCATTTTATCCAATCTAGCTCTGCTGGAACTTCACTTAACGTCAACCAACGCTAAAACTTTGCTCAAATGTACTGATCATGCATATTTCTATCATGTGTTCCTTCACTCAGCTAAACGTGATACATAAATAAACACAATAAAACACGTAAATAAATGTTGATATTCTGTTCAGTGCGGTTGTCATCAGAGAACGTAGAACTTGAATAGAGTTCATGTATAGACTAGTTCAGCCGACGGTAGCCAACGAGCAAATTGATCAGTGGAGTTGCCGGATATGTTGCTCAATTTGCTTTAGTTTATCAGAACTTCCTACACGTGTCTATTTTCCATACAGTAATTTTAACCCTAGCACAATGACGTGAAAACGTCAAAAACTGTAATCAGTTATCAACTTGAATAACAACACCCCCTAGTTAATTGTTTGCTTTTTTTATATATTAAAAATATCTCCTATTAGGTAAAGCTCCACCTGTACCTAACAATGCAAAATAAAAATTATATAACACAAAATAAATATTCATGTCTTTGTATGTTTCTGAAAGATACTGGTTTTAAAACCTTAAAATTAAAACTCTCACTCATCCACCAATAGCACACATTTGCATTTTTATTTAATACAATTGTTTGGATCACATTATTGCTGTAAATACCATTTCTGTTGTCAATTACAGGTGTCTAACCATGCCCTCCACTCCTACTGGGGGACTTCTTAAAATAGCCTTACCAGATTGAAACTTAACACTGCTTGTGTGGGCTGCCCAGATGGGCTATATGCATGTCTTTAGGGGTTGGAGTCCATTAAATGGTTAACCAAAATTTGACTGCTGTGCCAAATTGTTATATGACAATAATATACATGGGAAAATGGGCGTACTACACTCATTTAAGATAAGTTTTCTGTCTTGTCAATGTGGTTCTAAATCCTGTCCTCACTTTCTGTTTTTGTAGAACTTTAAGGAAAAATGGCTGAGACCCAGACGCTTAACTTTGGACCAGAATGGTAACTGAACTTGTGATTTTATGAATAATATGATGATTAATTAGATGGAGGAAGTCATTAAGAGGTTGTGAAACTAGTGCCCTTTGAAGGCTTAGTGCATCTGTTTCATGTTAAAACCTGTCAATTGCCACCTCAGCTGAACTGTATTTTCTTTCTGTCCCTTTTGCTTTTATTTCCCCCTTCCCCCATCTAGGCTCCGTGCCTTGTCTGGGGGTGGTGTCGGCAGTGGTGGAGGTGGAAGTAGCAGCTCTGTTGCCTCTCCACCCCTCTCACCTGCTTTTCCAAAGTATAAACTTGCAGACTATCGCTACGGGAGAGAAGAAATGTTAGCACTTTATGTAAAGGATAACAAGGTGAGTATTACATTTGACAGTGGTGTTTCTCAGTGTCCTGTATATCTCAGAGGGAGTACAGGTAGAGCTTGAGCAATTACATTAAAAAAAAATTAAAATTATAGATGTAATTCTATTTTAAAATGCTGATGTAAGGATCATATAAGTAGTGAGTCAGACAGCATTGTGCCATTCAACTACAGCCATTTATTCAAAGTACCCAACATATAATGAATATAAAGTGATATTTAGTTTTTATAAGTAAATACATATTTGAGGTTTTCAATGTACAGTAGATCACTTTACCCTGGTCATTTAAAAAGTAGCTCCCAAGTGGACACAGTTCGTCAACAGCAAGGGTGCTGTTGACGAACTGTGTATAAATACATTGTGTTTATTTTTTTTAACTGACATGCTTCTCATCAAATGTTGAAGCTTTTATTGTGAAGTCAATCATTTTAATTTTTTTTGTGTATATACATATATGTAATACAGATCCCTATAGACCTACATGATAAGGAGTTTCTGCCCATATTGCAAGAGGAGCCCCTGCCACCTTTGGCACTGGTGTCTTTTACAGAGGAGGAACAGGTGAGAAAATCTTGTTGATAAAGAGTATCCTCAGAATCTTTTTTTCTGCATATTAGTGCTCTTCTAATTTTCGTAACCTGAAAAGTTCATGACTTTTTTAGGGTGCCAGTATAACTTACATCTTAATAATTCTAAATCTTAAACAATTAATAATTGTTTACAACGCTGCACTGAGACTGTGTGGTTGATTTTTGCTTGAAATATGTCGTAATTCCCTGTATCAAACAGTATTTGTGGAAATCATCTTGTCACATCTATTTACAGTTGTTTGAATTTTTGCCTGCTGTAAATCCTTCCTTTCTTTCATAAGTCTGTCTCTTTAGGTCAAAGTGACATCTTTTGTCATTCGGCTCCAAAATCCATAATCACACAGAAATACAAATAGAAATAAAAAAACACTGAAAATTCACACATGCTGATCTAGGGGTAAATAAATGATTGTTGATCAGCTGCCTTATGTGGTAATAGTGTTGATTTTCTTTTCCTGATGTGTTTGGTCTTTAAAAATTACCTATGCTCTTAATTTTAGTGGAAAAGTGGCTTAAACTGGGCTCTTCCCTTTCAATTGCTCCCCTCCCTCTATTTGTACTTGCAGAGAAATTTTTCCATGTCTGTAAACAGTGCAGCAGTACTACGGCTGACAGGCCGAGGAGGCGGGCCAATAGTGGGGGCACCAAGAGGCCGAAGTACCTCAAGGGGTAGAGGTAAGACATAGATGGAGTCATGCCTAGATGTTTCAGGTTGTCTCACATCAGAGTGAAGGTGGATAAACTATTATATCTATAAAGTTACACAATGGACTTGTTAATATATTTGTTACATGCAATTTAAAAGTCAGATTTAAATTGAGCGTCGTATACCAACTCGGCAGACCTTGCAAGTAATTCTTTTTAAATCTTTGTTCTGTCCTTAAAAGTCAGTAACCCAGTCTATATCAGGATTGTTTTATCTTTCTAACCCTTTACGGGTTCCAGGCCGGGGTAGAGGAGATGGAGGATTTTACCAAAGAAGTTTTGACGATGTGGAAGGTTTCGGTCGTGGAGGGCGAGAGATGCACCGCTCACAGAGCTGGGAAGAAAGGTAACAACAATTGAATTTGGGGCTTCATGTTTTTAAACAGGTGCTAAACATGAGTTCTTTGTAATCACTTTGTTAAGACTTAATTCATGTTGTTGTATTCTATCTACATCAGGGGAGATAGAAGGTTTGAAAAACCAGGGCGTAAAGAACCAGGTTGGTATTTAGTGCACATATTTAGTACATACTATTTTGTATTTGATTTTTCTTTTAAACTATTAAAACTTGTTCTTCTCTGAACTCAACAGAAGTTGTTCCAGGACACTTTCAAATTAATCACAGTAAGTTATTTTGGGGTTTTTTTGCTGAAAAAACTTGACAAAATATCATTTTAGTTGACTTGTCTTGTTGACAGCTGCACTATAAGTCACATTTCTACTAACTGTTTTGTTTTAGTCCGAGGAAACTACGAGGATGGTGGGACAGGCCTACAGAGGAAGCACGATTTCACACGCTCAGAGAGTGAGAACTGGCGTACGACTCGTGATGATCAAAATGGTGAGGATGATGAAGGGGGATGGAGATTGGCAGGTTCTCGACGGGACAGTGACCGATGGTGCCCCCTAAGCCCAGGTGGGCACCGCACTGACCACTTCACTGAAGAATTTATCTCTGATGGAATTATCTGTGCTAAATGTTGGTTCTGGATTCCTGTATTGCAAAAATGACTATGCATCGCTGGAATCAATACATCGTCTGGTCATAAAATCTAATTACTTTTTAATTTTTTTATTTTTTTAGATTGTCCTCGGTCAGCAGGGTGGCGGGAACACCCAGACCAGCGTCGCCGTTTCCCATTTGATGCCAGAGAAGACGAGCGTGGATACAGGAGACCACGGTCGGGCAGCGGCAGTCTGGAAGACGAAAGGGACAGTCTGCCAGAGTGGTGTCTGGAGGATGCTGAAGAGGAGGCAGGGACTTTTGACTCATCAGGAGCCTTCCATTCTCACAAGGTAAGTGGAGACCTGGCTGTAGTTTTTTTTTTTTTTGTTGTTGTTACTCAAAATCAAATGTTTTACTTCTTCTACTTGAATCAAAGCTTCAAAATTATGTATATTTGTTTTTGGCCTTTTAGCAAAAAGCTTCCAAGGAGCCAATCCTGGAAGAAGCAGAGCTTGAATTTAAGCCACTGGAAGAGTGTGAGGAGGGTCTGGAGGAGGAGGACATTCGGCCCATGGAGACCAAAGAAACAGACATGGAGGCCAAAAGAGAGGCTGACCGAAAAGGTCAGCCACTTATTATTCTCTAGAGAGAGTTTACATTTGTCCCATGTTTGGCAGGGTTTTTTGCAGACATTTGGAATACAGACAAAACAACTGAAGCAGTGTTTCTGAGAAATACATGATACTGATACTATGTTGGGACAATAAGTCATGTTAACCTACTGTACATAGATAAAATCATTATTTTTTTCCCATTTTGTTTAACCTGTATTTTATTATTTTATTTGACTGTTTTGTCTGTATTCCAATGTCTGCAAAAAAACAAACTAGAACTAAAAACTACATTATAACTTGTTGAGATTTCCTGTCTGTGCACATTCAAAGGGTGGATTTTAGTTCTTACTGAAAACACCTGTATTTGAATTACCTGACCTTATCTGATTGTCCTAATTGTTTTCTAAAGAGTTGGCCAGGGTATCAGAAGAAGCCCCACCTGTTGCTCAACCTGTTGTACCTCCAGTCTTGGAGCCTCAGACCTCTTCCCAGCCATCTTCAAAGAGCCAGCCCTGTAGAATAGAGGAGATAGAAAGTCCACCTGAAAGACAGCCCCCCCTGGAGCTCCCACCAGAGCCCTGCAAACTCCCTCGGCACATCCCAATGTCCAACAGCATGGTGGAATCCCTACCTATGACCCACATTTCTACCACTCCTGCAGGTGAACATTGATTCTCCGCCCCTAATTGGCCCTATTCAATGATGTTGTCCTACAGGAGTTTAGGGAGTTCACTTTGGTTTGCATTGTGCTTTGTAGAAGTACCTGCTCCACCGCCCAGTGTACAGCTACCACAGCAGAAGGACATGGACATTCCTGTGGTGATAAACAATGCCTTGCCCTTTTCTTCAAGTATAATGGCACCTATAAGCAGACCTGCACCTGCACCACACGACACTGATGAAGATGGACTGAAACACTTTGAGCAGGTAAATGTTTGGATTTGAAATGTGTAACTGTTTCTTTTAACCAAAATAATCACTTAAAGCAGTCTAGCATTGCCTTAATTTATTTGTTAAAATTCCAAACCAAAATATCATAGGATGTCTAGCATCTACAACCCAAACAATGAGTTCATTCAAATAGAACAAAATGGGCAGAGAGTGATATGTGCTGCTGAAAATATCTATTTCAGGAGGCAGAAAAGATGGTGGCGTATTTACAAGACGGTGTGATGGACGACGACAGACTTGCAGTAAAGACTTCTGAGAAGCCCAAGTCTGCAGGACTGCCACGCACTCATGAGGCTGCTCTCAAGTGGTTCTACAAAGATCCTCAGGGCGAGATACAGGGTAATGCTACAAGAGATGTGTAACAACAGCTGTGATTTAACCTGTATTATCTGTTTCGAATCCACTTGAGCCTTCTGTGTTTTTTTTTATCCTACTCCATTCAGGTCCATTCAGTAACCAGGAAATGACTGAGTGGTTTCAGGCTGGTTACTTCACAGTTTCTCTGTTGGTCAAAAGAGGGTGCGATGAAGTATTTCAACCACTGGGAGAGATCATGAAAATATGGGGGAGGGTACCGTTTACACCAGGCCCTGCACCTCCACCTTTACAGGTTTGTGGCTGAATACCAGGGTCCACTCTTTATACAGTCATTTCCTTTGCACATCTTCCTTAGCTGACAACTGCAGAAGGAAGTATTTTATTTAATTATCTGCATAGTAAGAGGTAAAAATATGTGGGGAAGATTTGAACAGTTGTCTTTTGTTTAATGAGCCCTTTCTCTACAGTTGTTTGCTGCTAAGTCACATGGTACATCACACACGTCCTTTAATTGTAGTCTTGCTAGATGCCCATAACTGAGGCTTCTCTCTTTGTCAGTGCAATTTTTCACATGTTTTATGTTCAATCAGCACTCATTCAATTATGCATCTCTCCATTCCTTCATTTTACTATTTAGCTGCTGCGGCATTATGAATTTATTTTGTCAAATTTTATGTTTCTTTAATAATGATTCAAACTGATGTTTTTTTTAGACTGACAGTGATCAAGAGAGGTTAAAGAGGCAGCAAGAGCTAACTGCTCTCAACCTTTACCAGTTACAACAGCTACAGTATCAGTACCTTCTCAGGTTTGTTACACACCCAGCAGCTAACAACACACACTTTTGGGATATATAATTATTATTATACTTCTTCACTTCTTTTTCACCTTTCAGACAGCAGTATGCACAGGCTTTAGCCCAACAGAAGGCTGCCGTTCTGAACTCGGCTCCTCTTCAACAGCAGCAGCAGCATCAACAGCAGATCAACCTGCTACTACAGCAATATCAGGCCCTCAAAATAAGGTTGGTCAGGCAGACCTTCCTGTGTTACTACACCTGCCAGTGTTGTATTAATTGCTCTGTTCACTAATGTTGGTCCTTACAGGGCATCTGAGAGCCTCTTACCTCCTGTTACCCGCTCTTTATCAGTACCAGACTCTGGTTCTGTGTGGGAAATGCAGAACCCCTCCTCTCAGGCATCCTGCACACCGAACCTCCAACCAACTGCTCCAAGCAGTGAGTTTCCCAGCATGTCTGTTTTATTTTGTTTCATATCTGACAATATAAAACGTAATTATTTCATTTTCCTCTCAACAGCATGGGATGGCAGCAGTGTTTGGGATTTACCAATAGATTCTTTGGCACAGGCTCCAACCATGGAACAGATGCAACAGTTAGAAAGTTCAAAAACTGCAAAGGTAAACAATTATTGTACAGTTTTTTTGTACTAGTTGTCACACTTATTTTGTACATGGCTTATATAGAATAACTATTTCAGAACGTTTTTCATAAAAGATGAACAATTGTCAAGTTGTTTATCTTATTTCAATTATTTTCATTGTAAATTGATTCTGGTGCTTGTTATCCACTAGTTGGAGCTAGAGAGGCGGGAAGCAGAGCAAAGAGCCAAAAGGGAGGAAGAGGAAAGGCAGCGGTTGGAGGAAGCTCTGAGGGCTCGACGAGAGGAGGAACGTAAACGATTGGAAGAAGAGGAGTTGGCTCGGCAAAAACAGGTTTCAACATATGTTTGAATAATCATCAGCAACAACCGCTTTCACAGATGTTGTATATTAATTGGTACAAAGGCTTAAGTAGCGTTTACACTTTTTAGGAGGAGGCTTTGAGGCGGCAGCGAGAACTTGAAGAAGCACAGCGGAGACAAAAAGAAGAGGAGGATAGACTGGCTCAGGAGGAAGCTCGGCGAAGATTGGAGGAGAGGCGGAGGGAGGAGGAAGAGAGGAAGAAACGAGAGGAGTTCCTTCGCAAACAGGTGAGCTGATTCTGCAGTTGCCGGCAACAAATTGCAAGGCAAATTATTTAAACTTTCTTTACTTACTTTATTATCATCCATGTTTACCAGGAAGAGGAGCGAAGAAAGCAGGAGGAACTCCAAGCACTGAAGAGGCATGAGGAGGAGAAGCGAGCGGAGGAGGAGGCTGCTGCAGCCGCTGCTGCTGCAGCAGCTCTGGCTCTTGCCCAGCAACAACAGGAGGAGCAGAAGAGGAGAGAGCAGGAGGCCCAAAGACAGCAGGAGCTGCAGAGACAGCGGCAGCAGCAACAGGAAGCCCTCCGGAGACTTCAGCAGCAGCAACAACAGCAGCAGCTGGCTCAGATGAAGGTCAGAACTCTCAGCACTGACACTGTTTTTGAGAAATGGTAAAGGATTCACAATAGCCTGGGTGTGTTTATGGTGAAGAAAACTTTCTGAATCTTCAACATAGTTTTTATTCAACCACATTGCGGTGCAACAAAATACAAATTATTAATGAATAGATATCAGCAAATCATACATCACTCATTTTCAAAACATTAAAAAAAATTTTGCAGCTTCCATCCTCTTCAAAGTGGGGTCAGCAATCAACCAACGCCATTAACCAGAGTCAGAACGCCCTTTCACTGGCCGAGATCCAGAAGCTGGAGGAGGAGCGAGAACGTCAGCTGAGGGAGGAGGTGAGGACAAATGCGGACATCTCAAACATTGGCGTCTAGTTTTTTATTTTTTGTTCTCCAATGATTTTGTATTTTTACATTTTCTAATGGTTCTATCGGAGCTTATTCCCTAATAAAGCTCATACCAACTCTTTTTCCTCCACACACAGCAGCGACGTCAGCAACAAGAGCTTCTGAAGCTACAGCAACAGCAGGCTCTGCAACAGGCTCTGCAGCCTCAGACCAAGATGTCTGGTTGGGGCAACATGGCCAAGCAGCCGGTTGTCACCAAGTCCCTGCTGGAGATTCAGAGGGAGGAGGCCCAGCAGATGAAACAGCGGAAGGAGCAACCACAACCGCAACCACATCCGATCACCACTCAGCAGAACCGGACTCAAAACAGAACTGTACTTGACATTTGTTTTCTCAAAAGGCCTTTGTTTACTTTCTCTGTCAAAAAGTCAAAACTTAATTTAAATGTAGACTGTTCTGTTGACATTTTTATAAACATAACATACTTGCGCTGAAGTACTATTTTTTTTTTTTTTTTTTTTTTTTTTTTTTTTTTTTTTTTTTTTTTTTTTTTTTTTTTTTTTAAGCAGACGTCTCTGTCGAACTCGGTTTGGGGTTCTGTGAACACAAACACCTGCACCAACTGGGCTTCAGACAGCAGTATTTGGGGAGATACCCACAACTCCAACATGGGCTTCTGGGATGAGGCTGTGAAGGAGGCCACTCAGCAACCTCCTCCGAGCAGGAAAGGAAGTGCGCAGAAGAATAACAAAGGCAACGCCAACCACAGGTATTTATTAAGTGGAAAACAGTTGTTCATTCTCTGTGGGATGTGAGTAACACGCAGCTTCTTAATGATTTCTTCCTGTGTTTTTGTTTGTCCACTCCAAGCAACTCTTTGAGTGGGCGAGTCAACAAGAAGGTAGAAGAGGAGGAGAAGCTGCTGAAGTTGTTTCAGGGTGTCAACAAGAGCCAGCAGGACACCTTCATGCAGTGGTGTGAGCAAACCCTGCACACCCTCAACACGGCCAACAATTTGGATGGTGTGTCTTTCAAAGCCCTCTCACGTCCTGCCAATTTCCTCCATCAGTGGACCATTCTTAGAAGCCAAACTCAAACATACTCTTGTGTTTTTTTCCCCTGTCAGTTCCCACATTTGCTTCCTTCCTGAAAGAAGTGGACTCCTCATACGAGGTGCAAGACTATGTCCGGGCATACCTGGGGGACACTCCAGAGGCCAAGGACTTTGCCAAGCAGTTCCTGGAACGCCGTGCCAAACAAAACGCTAATCAACAAAAACAGGCACCGCAGAACCAACAGCAGGTCCACATTCAGCAGAAGCAACAACAACAACAACAACAACAACAGCAGCAGCAGCAACAGCAGCAGCAACAACAACTACAGCAGCAGGTGAATAATTTTAGAGGTGGACCTGACTCTCATATTGTCATTTAGCTTAAAGCTAAAATCTTTCAATGGTTTTATCGAAATTGTATTCACGGCATTGGTTTCCAAAGTGTGGAGGCTGGTCCCTCTAGGGAGCGTGAAGCTTTTTGAGGGTGGGTACATTTTTTAATATTTACTTTTTTTGTCTCACACTTGAAAGTTAAATCAGTTCAGGTAAGTTTTATTTGTATGGCATTGTCTCTATATCAATATGATATAGAGAGACATTGCAATATAAAAGTTTATAATTCCTCTCCTCACTACATCACACAAAAAGACAAAAAAAAACAATATTGTATTAGTGATAAAATAACAATATTTTTCATTAAAAGATGCAACATTTTCGTGTATTCCAGAAAAGAGGATTTTTCTGAAGAAATACATTTTAGAATATTCTCATGTCAAAGGTTGGATGTCTTTTACAAGCGACATTTTGTATGTGAAGGATTCTGTATGGGCTGGAACAGGATCTTCGTCAATCTATCAGTCTAATCATACAAGTGGTCAGCAGCAGCGTTTTGAGACGGTCACCTCAGGGAAGAAGAAAAAGAAGCAGAAGATGGTCCGTGCAGACCCCAGCCTGCTAGGTGAATACTGCTGAAATAAATTATCTCTGCCTTTTACAGCTCACCTGCTAAAGGGATTTTTCTGCTTTTTCTCTTTTGTCAGGTTTTTCTGTCAATGCCTCATCAGAGAGGTTGAATATGGGAGAGATTGAAACTTTAGAGGACTTTTAAGGGACTGTGGCCCAGATCTTTTATCCCGTTTTCTGTCCCTGCCACCAACTGCTTCCACAGTTTCACCTTTTTCATTTCCAGTCTGTCATCTATCAGAAATGTTCTGGTTTGCCCACTAAACAGTCTAAATTATAAACAAACAGGAGCTCTGAGCTCTCCCGTCTCCCGAAGGACCTACATGTTTGAAAAACATCCTGGAGAGAAGCGACTGCAGCAAACCGACCATTGAAGCAGCTTGAAGCAAGAAAAGATTGTTCTTGTTTTGCTCCTGCAACTTAAATTCTCTTCACCTTAACAAGGTGGATTTTTTTTAAGTAGGCCTGTAGGTTAACGGATGGTGTTTGGTGGGTGTGAAAATTATTGAGAGATTACATTCGTAGTTTTCATTTTATTTATTAAAAGGTTTTTTTCCTTGCTCTAAAAAAAGCCCCTCCTTCCTCCGCCACTTTCTTCTCCTCGCTACTTTTCTGCTGGGTGTTTGTGGATGACGACGGCAACGCACAGCCCAAGGATACCCACTTGTGTCCTGTTTTAAGGACATATCCAAAAGTTCCACGTAGTTATCTATTTCTTGTAAAATACTAGGCTGTTCAAAGAATAAACTTTCAACTCTGCATCTGTATTATAATATATGAAAATGATCTGCTGGAGTCATACTTTTTTATTGCGGTATGAAATAAAACAGTCTTATGTGTGGGCTGTCAAACCTGTGTCTGAACCATTGAAAGAAAAAAAGCATCTTTCATTCTTAGGAAGGTCAAAGGTTGCTGTTCTATCATCTCCCAACAACAGAGATCGAAGACTTCAATTCACATTTGGTTAAATAGAAAAAGTCTGACCACGGTGTGTTGTTTATAGTTTTTGCACACGGGGGCAGTCTAACACTAGCACTTTAGTCAGACCGCAGTGTGTGTAGTTTATCATTTTGACACACGGGGGCATCTAATCATCAGCTGTAGATCTTAATTCTCTACTCTTAATATGGGCGAGAACCTTGTGTATTTCCCAAAGGAGAAATACCTTTCTACAGCAGCAGTTTGAACAATCAACCAACCACAGGAGGGCATTTATTTCTAACGTATAAGAAATGTATAAAAATAAATATTTTTTAAATCCTCAGTTTTTATAAATAATTGTAATTTACATCAAAGCCTGTCTGCTCACACCTGGTTATAAGGGAACTCGAGTAAGGTTGCCAACCGTGCTGTAAATACAGAATCACACTTTATATAGTTTCTGAATTTTGTTTTGTATTTCACAAATACACACGTCCCAGACAGCTACATAATAAAGATAAGCAGACGAAGATGAATGAATGGACACGTCTGCCCCAAACACATCAACAGTAAATCTAACAATAATCAATATAATACACAGGGCGGAATCTGCGCTTCGTTCATTGGTTATAAAACATTTCAAGCTTTAAGTTTGACTAACTGTCTTCTTTATCAGCCCTTTGTTCAAAACACCGGCACAAAATAAAACAAACCGTTTTTCGGTTTTGACACGTCACAAAAACGAGGAAGAACAAGCCAATGACAAGAAATAAACCGTGTCACGGGGTGTGACGGGGTCTGCCACGAGTTTAAGACGCCACAGGTGAACGGCATTATTTCTCATTAAAAGGTCCATGTGGTCGGTGGCGATGGCTGAAATAGATGTTGAGAGACTTTTGGCTATTTCTTCTCTGCTGTTGGCGTTTTAACTATTGTTTTAAAGTTTTCTTACTAGCTTGGACTTCTGGTAAGTGGAAGAAAACTGTAATATATTTATTTTTGTGTTGGCTTGAACTAATTTAAAATTGGCACACCCAAGTGTTTGGAGAATGCCCTTACTCTCTAAATCATGTTTTACTGTTTTAGTTTTAAAAGTGCATCTTCAGTGTCTTCTACAGGAAATTTATAAAACTGTTTATTGTATTAAATTTGTAATCAACATTGTTTGAAATGAACAGATACGTTGGGATTTCTGCACACGGAGACCACGTGAAAGTACACTCCTGAAAATGAAGGACAAGGTGGGTTATCTGTAGAGTCAAACTCAGGTTTGATAAGGAAGCAGTTGAATGGCAAACGTTTGTGCTAACACTTATTGTTTGTTTATCTTCCAGAACGATCATCCTGGAGATCTTCAACACAATAAGGAGCACACACAGGAGGTCCTGTGTTTATCCATTTAAATAAATCTACATTAATTATATAAATATTTGCCTTGTTTTTAATCATTGTAGAATGTTATGTAGTTGTCATTTCTTAGATTTAAATGACATTCAGCTCATAGTTTAAACATTAATCTTTACATGACAAGTTAAATTCACCAATTCTGTCCAACTCACAGTATTTGGTGTTGAATAGTCTGAAATATTATGGAACAGTTTTGACTTTTAGATCTGGCTTGTCTCCCTCTGCCAAGTCCATTTCCTAGTAAAGACTTGTCTGCACTTCTGTGGCGTTTAGATGTGTTGGGGGGGCTCCCAGCAGGGGAATTTTGTAATTTTTCCTCTGCAAAATTGTGTTTTACCGTTTACATGCAAGGCCAAGTTTACAAATTTTTAAATATACTGCGTAATGTGGTAGGGACACAGATTAGATTGCGCGTTTAGGGTCTTTAATAGAAAATGTACTTGGCAAAGAGACAACCAAGACTTTGTAAAGATTAAGTTAATATTTACAACTTATTTTAAAAATATTTTAACAAGTTCTGTGAGCAGAATAGTCTGGGCACCTCGGAGATGGTGGTCACTGCTGTAAATTTAAATTTAGTGTTTTAATCTGGGTTAACTGTCAGTCTTAAGATCAGTGTAGGCTTCATCTAAACTGTAAATAAACTACATTGAATTTCACGTGATGGTATTGTCTTCCCTCCACCACCTTCTGCAACTTGAGTTTAAAACAATTTTAACCTCTTTTTCCTGAAACTAAATGCGCAGACACTGACCTCAGTGTTGGTCATCTCAGCTGTTGCACAAAAAAAAAGTTGTGAGGTTTTTATAAGAAAACCTTAAACCAAACTAACTGTTCTATTATGGCTAATTTCTCATGTTAATAAAATAAAGTTTCCTCTTGTGTGCTGTTGACTTCTGTTTTATTGAAATTAAAAATTTCCACTTGGTTGTGACTCATACTTTGCATGTCAGCATTTAAACTATACTATACTGGCATTTAAATGCTACATGTACTGACACTGATACAGTGAAGGTCATTGTGGTGTATGGTCACAGACATTTTAATAGAATTCTTTGGTTTAAAAAAAAAAACTAAAAAGAGGTTAATTAAATTATTGACATGTGGTCATGGGCAGACTGAGGTGGCTCCTGGGAAGTGTAGTGAAGACATTGTTCTCTGTGCAGCTTCTTTTTTTTTTTTCTTTTTTTTTAAACTCACACCAGAGCAACCTAAACGCAGACTTTGTAGTTGCTGGCTTTGTTCTGTCAGACATATTTAATGTTCCTCTAATCTTACACTCTACTCTTTATGCACCAGGTAAAACACCCAGCAGGAAGCTCTGTGAAGCAGCCTGGCAGAGGTCAGCTGCCATTTACCCTTGACACCAAGCTCTGTGGTTGCAGGAATTTAGAGTGGGTCAGGTCAGCAAAGGTGTCCTCACAAAGTCCATACTGTCCAAGTTGCTGTGCGTACACCTTGTCCCACCTACACCTACACCTAAACCCACACCTGCACCTACACCCACTCTTCTCCTGCTCCTCTGCCAGGGTGCTTTACTCTTTGCAGGTTACTGTTGGAGGATATTCGAGACCCGCTGCTCTGTCCTGACACTCGTCCACTGCACAGCCACCATGGTCCACAGCAGCGGCAGCAGTATCTGCAGACTCTTCCTGTTGGTCCTTCTTGGGCTCTTCATCGCTTTCATACACACAGGTAAAGCTGTTGATTCTATCAGACAACTGATGTTGAAACAAGTTACAGTGAGATTTTACTAGAAAAAGATTTATACACCATTTTTATTAACGTATAAATAAACCTGTAGTTTTCATTCTGTCTTCACCCAAACACTGCAGAATGAGAGGGGTTCAGTACTTCATGTTTAAAATATTTCCTTTATTCCAGGAAGTATATGTTTTTAACCTGGTACTTCAGTAACAAATTGAGTGCGTACCGTATGTGTGATTTTCCGTCTAAATTCTCAGGTTGAGTGCGTGCTTCTGCAGCCTAACGTAGATGATGTGAAAGCTGCTGTTTGACTAACAGGATGACTCAGTTGCCTTAATGTCGTTTCATGTTTGAAATGAGAGCTAGAAGCCGCAGTCCTCGGCCCTTTGATCTGCAGTGATTCTGTGGGGTTTTGATACTGATTTATTTTTATTATATCTTTTTCTGCTCTTCTCACAACAAAATTTGTTCTGTAAAACATTTTCTAACACTTGAAGGAGAATCAAAGGATGACGCAGTAACACTACGCCAGCCAATTGAAAATATTTTGCGGCATCACGTGGTTTCTTGTCTCACACATACAGATGTACACTCTGTTATCTCTCTAATTGGTGTGAAATCCTGGAGCCAGAGAAGTGAGGTACAACTGACAGTGAAGTGTCAGAGTCAAAAATCAGTCCTCAGTCTGCTGAGCTTCACTGTCCATGAGAGACAAAGGTGAAGACTAACATCTAATGAGGCTGTGATTCCTGAAGTAGAGTACTTGTGATTAGCACTACAGTTTCAGTACAGTAATGTCATTTTTAAAAAGTAGTTGATAATGCTTAAAATGAAGTAAAGAATATTACTATCTACTTAAAGTGACAGTTCTTGTCATTTATTATCAGTAGTATATGCTCTTTATAGCAGATAAAATAAACATATCTACCAGAAATGCTTTAATCTGTAAAAGTATTTCGTGTTTACACGGACAATTTATTTAAACTTTTTTTGTGCACAAAAACAAAGCAATAAGCTTTTGTCACCAGCTGACAGTTTGTTTTTTTTTTTTTTTTGCCTAACTTTAATTGACTTATGAAGAAATTTGGGCTAAAAGATAGAACAGTGTAGTAGTTATCACAGGAGAAGCAGTTTACCACCAGGTATTTTTAGTTTTTTAAATTTAAGAAAAATAAATCATGATAGGTGGTGCTGACGGAGGGGAAAACAACTCGAGGAGTTTGTAGGAACATCATCGTCTCAATCAACAGAATTTTTCAGCTTGAGGAAACCACTCTTTGTGGAAACAAACACCTTTGGAAAATGTTGTGTTGTTATGATTATTTTCCCCCTTTTTAAATCAAGCTCTTCACGGAGGCACAATCGTCCACACACACAAACTATTAAATAAACAAGTTTGTTTGACGTCCAGTGCCCGGGTGCTGCCTGGTTTGGGACTGGCTGGTTGTTACCAGTTGCAGCAGCGCCGCCCAGTGTGACCGCACAAACTGTCTTTTGTGCCGCGGGCTGAAGGCCTCATTGATGGCTGAGCTGGCTGTGGGCCTGGGCTCCAGAGTTTCAGCAAGCGTCAGGGCGAGAAGCTCACATCAGAATTAAAAAAAACAAACTATCACTGAGATCAAGTAACATTCACCACATGTTTGTAAAGAATCATGTCATGAGTTTCACTCAAATACATTTGATAACAGCACGAAGAGACTGGTCGCTGGGTTGATGGAGTTCAGCGAGGGCGTCAGAGCCTGCAGAGTAAATAAGGAGTGTGAAATAAGATGAGTGTAAATATGTTTGGATTTGGGTTTTGTTGGAATGAGCTGAGTCTCGAGGACAGGATAAGTGAATCAGTGAGCGTGTGTGTAAATGGGTGGGCCTGTGTGTGAGGAGTTTGTTGTTTTAAGGGGACGCGGGTCGGGGAGATGGGAGGGGGGGGTTCAAATGAAACTTTGTCCAATTACCACAGAGATGGTAATTGCTGGTGTGTGTTTGACCAGACGGTGTCAGGGACACTCTGTAACTCTGTGTACCGTTTCTTCAGTTTTCTTATATAAATCGTCCAGGAGAGTTGGTCACTTATCTTGATGAGTCAAACAGCCATACAAAGAACAGGAAGAGGTTTCCGACCTCAAGCTCACACTTTTCAAATCCCCTACTTTATCACCTCCAAACCGTCCTTTGGTTCCTTCAGCGACTGATTTCTCCTCTCGTTTGTCCATAGCAGTCTTTTATTTTTATTTGTCAGACAGAGATGTGATTTTAATCCTTCATATAAGTTGGTGGGACTGCTTCACTTGCCTTTCTCAGCACAGCCTTATCTGAAAAGTCGGTCAGAACAGTTCTGTCTTTTTGATCAGTTTAAGCTGAAAACAAACAACAGCTGCTGATGCTTCAGCAATGAAAGGATCATTTATGAGTGCAGCACTTCAAGCTGAAAAAAAAAGCCAAAACCGACCAGCTAGTGTGTTCAATACGGCCCGCTTGATGAATTTTGAAAGTGGAAAACTTCACAGACACTAGATGTCAGAGATGTTTGTCAAATGATATTTCATTAAATTAAAAAAAATAATATTTTCTAATATGCTTGTGCTTCTTTGCATGAAAACAAAGTGGACAACCATGGACTTAGTGTTATTTACAGGTTATGTTATGATTGTACTGGTCCGGCCCACTTGTCATCTAATCATGTTGTTTGTGGCCACTGAACCAAAATGAGTTTGACACCCCTGTCCTAGATAAACATCAATACCTAAAGATAGATGCAGAGGACTGACAGTTGCTGCTAATATGTTTGACTACATAGAGACATTAATGAGTTTAACTGTAACTATTATTATGTATGTTTGTCTTATACCATAACCCATGAAGCAAAAGCAAGTTAGTCCTCAAATGTCTCATTGTCCAAGGCTGAAACCTTCAACGTTGTCCCTGCTATTGTTTCCAGTTTTTGGTCTCCAAAGAAATAGCAAAAAAAAATACAAACCTCCAGTTTCTCTGGCTCAAGTCGAGGTGTGAAAAGTCTCATGCCGATTCAATGGCCAGATGGGAGAAATGTCAGCGGAAAGTTTGGGTTGGAAAGGGAACAAATGCAAAGCTCTGCCAACAGTGAGCTTCAAAAACATTTTTTAAATTCATTACCTTCTCTGAAGCTTCAGAGCCAAAGGCTAACGTACGGTATCTGCAGCTGCAGCAGGTCGTTCGTGTGCACTTTGCTTCAAAATGTTTTAGTACTCGATCTTGGCTGAAGCTTTGTGGAAAGGAGAGGGGAACGAGCTAAGGCTCAAACGGACAAAATGTCCATCGTCTACAAAGACGTCCTTATGCCAGGGTCTGGACCGTTAGCCCACTGAGACAAGAGAGAGGCTGTTGGAGTTAGGACAGATGGGGCCAAATACACAGTCGGGAAATCATGGCAGTAAATGGATGCATCACAGCAGCCAATCAGTGACACAGCAGTGATGGGTTTTTTATGTCCACGTGAAAACACGATAAGATGGTGATTTGAATTTGTTTTCTGGCCTACAGAAACAGTTTTTGACCCGGTCTCAACAACCAGAGACAACCAGGATACCACGTCCGGAGAGCCGCCCAGTGACGTCACCACCAAAGACCCTTTCCAGGACATGACGGAGCAGTCCTCCACCAGTGACTATGAGGACATCACCCACTCCCTGACCATAGACGAGGAAGAAGGTGAGACCCACTCCACTGTTTACTCATTTTAATGTATTCAGATGATTTTAACTGTTTGTTTGTTTGTTTGTGTGTGTGTGTACATGTGTACATGTGTACGTGTGTACGTGTACATATGCATGCATGTGCAGGAGTCCTGGGGGCCGGGGCCATCACAGCCATTGTTATTGCGGTGTTCCTGGGAGCTTCTGTCCTTCTCGCCCTCATCGTTATCGCACTGAGAAAGTTCACATCATCCTAGACTGTGTGTGAGTGTGTGTGTGTCTGTCTGTGTGTCAGTGTGTGTGTTGGTTTTTCCCCTCATCTGCTTCATCTTCTATTCAAAACCAAGTCACGTCTCTGCTCTGCTGTAGATGCTCCACACGGTGACAGCTCCCTTCAATGGCTGTTCACAGGTTTCTCTCTAAAACACACAAACATGTTCATATTTTTCTGTAAATGTAATGTTAGAAACTGGCTGGCTCTTCCAGTGGAAACTCTAGCATGTCCAGACTTTTACCCCCTCTGAGGTATTAGCCAGTTTGTTTGTTTTTGTTTGTTTTCTGTCTCTCTTTTTTTTGGCATAAATTGTCCTGAATCTCTGTGTGTGAGTGTGGAGGGGGATGTGCCACAATGATTTAATCTTTATTAAAAATAACAGCACACTTCTATAATAGTCCTGTTGGTTTCGGTCGTGTACCGGTGTTGGAGTTGACACTGTTCCATTTACAAACATTTGTGGAGACATATTTAGAAGATGTCTGTTCTTAAAAAGTGAGTGGAAACAGCTGGGTTGTTGATTTTACATGAATATAAATACGAATTACGCGTATGTGAAGGGGGGTTTCCCCCACCCTTGTTTTATCCACGGGGTAACAGTGATGTGTTCTGCTCTCTGCCTCAGATACAACAGCATCTTTTGGTGGGTTAGAATGGTCAGTTAACTCCCCTGTTAGTTTGGGTTTTTTTCTTTTCACATTGAGATTTAAATGGAATAAATATGTACAACAAAATATGCTGATTCTGAGTTCTAATAGAGTCTCTCTCTGTGTTTTGGCTTCAACTTTCTGCTGAATTTTTCTAACCTTTGACAATGTTTGGTTTGCAGACATCGTGTCACGATCCTGGAGCTGCCATCATGGCAGATCAGCTGTACTAAACAAACACCTATCACAGTGAGAACAGGATAGCTGCTGGTGTTGGAAGGGTTAGAAGCTGAGAAAAGCTGAAAAAGAAATGTTGATGGGACCAACTGTTTAGAAAAAAGTCAGCTTCTCTGTGGAGAAAACTCTTTCACATTATTCACTTTCAGTTCTCTTTAGTCAAATACAGTTCTCTAAATTATGCCTGTCACAGACACCCGGCCCTGACAGAACGGAGGAAGGCAGAGTAATCAAGCACAGACTGATCAATCTTTCATTTTATTTATCAATACAAGTCAGGAAAACTAAAACAGTAACAGCCGTAAACCTCTTTTTTATTTTCCAAATCCAGAATTGCTTCTTAGCTAATTTTATTAGTAACTGTCTAATTTAACAAGTCCAATTTATTCACTCGCACTTCAGTTCTCACTTTGTACAATAAATGGTAGCATTGATAGCGGACTGATTATGTTTTACTGAAAAGGCATGTATTTTCCTTAAAATCAGTTACGTCATGTCAAAGCAGTGTGGTTACACACAAAAATATCACACCACTGTCTCGTGTGTGTGTGTGTGTTTTTAAAGCAACCTTTAACCAGACTTCTCTAAATGCGTGAGAACTAAGCTAAAAGGCAAAAACATCTTCCCACGGCTTGATGCAGTGAAGTCAAATCAGCACCTAACGACAGGAAACCTTCAGATACAATTATCACTGACATCTGTCTGTGCTACTGTCACACCGCTGAGAGACATGTTTGTGAAAAAGGAAGATTTTTCTTCTGACAAATCTGACAAATTTGTCAGATATAAGTACTATTTGAGTATTGTATACATTCTACAAAGGTTTAAGTGCAGCCCTGGTCAGACTCTGGCTTAGATTGTCTTTGTGGGAAGGGGAAGAAAATCTGTACTCTGATTTATGACTGTATATAATAGTGTTGTCATTGTTAGTTTATTGTGTGGATTTAGTCGCTACAGCTGGGTCCTGATGTTTGTTAATGGAAAGTACACAATAAGGAAACATTCACCACAATCTTAAAACAAAAACAACCAACTGCGAGACTGGTGGTGAGTGCAGCTGCTGTTCTCCTCTCTATTTGTGGTTTGCTTTAGTTAGGTTTACATAAACATTCTACGTTTGTTTGCCATCGTTACTGTGTCTACGTCAGTTCCACAAGGTCTGTGGATTGTTGGCCCACAGTCATGAGACAATGTGTCATTTGTGGTTTTTGCATAAATCTAATATCAGCTATTTAGAGAACCATCATAATCTTAATCTTAATCTAATCATGACATGTAAGGCAGACATTAGTTTCAGGATTTATCTTTTCTCTCTGTTCCTCTGTCTAAACTTTTATTAACCTGCAGAGGATGGAATCGATGAGACGTGGAATTAACTGAAGTCTATCAGATATATATATATATATATCATCAGTGTATGTGGAGTGTCCACAGCAATGAAGCTACAGAACCAGCCAGTTGTTTATTTGGAATGACAGTGTAATTGAAAAAAAAAAATTACACAAAGATATACCTCCATCTTGTTACAACTGTGAATTGTGGCGTAGAGTTCAATTGTTTTAAAAAAAAAACGACCACATTATCAATTGTTAATTGCCGTGTTAATATTAAAACTGTCAAAAAAGTGACAGAAGGAACAGGCTAGAACAGGCCGGACCTGTTTATTAATGCAAGCATTTAAATAGATTTGAAGTTCATCATAATTCACTCGCTTTAATGTGTGGCATGACTCAGGAAGTGGTGATGAAACAACACACGAAGAGAAAGCAGAAGTGCGTCTGGCACAGACGGGCGGCGTGTCACGCTGAGCGCTCAGTGGAGAAATTGGCCCTGATGAGGTGAAGGTGAAGAGACTGGCACTGGGTTTTCACGTCGTTCCTGTGAAGGACTACTTGTTTTTCACACCACCAGGTTGGACTCATATTACTACTAAAATATTAATGAACTGAATATTGCTGTTTCATATGTATTTTAAATAGTTGGATTATTTTTTTTAGAAAATATAATTTTTTTTGCTGGTTTTAATAAAGAACAGCAAAACAGGCGTAAACCGTATGTAAAGCACTTTTTTTTAAACTTTTTGTATATTGTATATTTTCATCTATACATTTCACATGAAAGATCAGCAGCGCCCACACTTGGAGAACTACCTTCAAATGAACAAATGTGATATATATTATATACGTCATTAATAATTATATAAACATAAATCCAATCTGTAATTAGATAACTTTTAACCTTTTCTATTTTAAAGTGAAACAAAGAACCTCTTTTTGTGTGATTATAGAATTTAAATTCAAATCGACACCTGCAGCAGTCTCAGAAAAAAATGTGATGAGGTCAAATAAAAAAAAAAAATTCAACTCGTTGATAAACCTGCTTGTTGGGGAAGATCAAAGTGCAGGTTTAATTTAGAGCAACTGACGTGTGTCACCACAAATACAATAATAAACACCATGTTACAGTGATGGGTCTTTATTCATTTATTTGACTATATAAAAATATTTTATTTCATATTTGTCGCCACATTGTCTGAGCTGGTGCTCATTTAAATTCAATAGTCTTTTGTCTATTTTTGCATTTTTTTAAAAGATTCCTGCATGTAGGATTTGTACCTTATTATTATTGTTGTGTTTTAGGTTTTATTTTGCAATTAATAAGCCACTGGGGACAAAGAAAAATGCTGCAAGTTTGCCACTTCCTTACGTTGTGGTGCAATTTTAAAATACCTTTTATGGTGTGAGTCATGACTTTCATTTATAGAAAACAATTTAACACAAAACTCTGAGATTTTACTGTATTTGTAAATTGTCTTCACAACAGAAAGGTTAAAAACAAACAAACAAAAAATAAAAAAACACCACTTGTGCCCAATGCGTGACAGTGGTGGTATAGTGATGTGTCTGACAAGTGTTTCTGTGGGGGCATCAAAGATCAACAACAGGAAATTCAGATGCGTTCGCTGACACTGAAACAACATCAATTCTGTGTTAAATCCAGGCTGACACCATGAGTGGAAACTGCTCGTTTGACTCCGTGGACCACCTGATGAGATATCTGGAGCTGGTCATCTACATCCCAACATTCCTCTGTGGTCTGATCCTCAATGTCATTGCTCTCTTGGTGTTCTGCATCTTCCTGAAAAAACGGACCGAGTCAACCATCTACATGACCAGCTTGGCTCTCATGGACCTGTTCCTCCTGTTCCCACTTCCTTTCAAGATGCATGCCACCAATCACCTCTGGCCTGCTAGCCTTCAACCGCTGTGCTCAGTCCTGGAGAGCCTGTACTTTGTTGGGATCTATGGCAGTATCTACACCATCATGTGCATAGCCGTGGACCGCTGGATGGCCATCTGTCACCCCTTCAGAGCCAAGCAGCTGCGCTCATCCTCAGCAGCTCTGTGGACCTGTGTAGGAGTGTGGCTGCTGGTACTGGCCGTGCTCTCTCCAACTGTATACCACTTCAGGGAGAGCAGCCAGTCGGACTTCCACTGCTTTCACAGCTTTTCAGAGAAAGGCTGGAGGCCTCCCGTCATCATCTGCCTGCTGCTCTTTGGGTTCTTGCTACCTGTGGTGGTGGTAGTTTACTCTTCGGTCCACACCATCTGGGCTCTCCAGCGGTCCGGACAGCACAGCCCTCAGAGCCAGGCCTGTGTGAAGATCATCTACAGCAGTCTGAGTGCCTTCTTGGTGCCGTTCACCCCGAGCCACGTCGGTATTCTACTGCAGTTCCTGGTAAGAATCCTTCAGGTCCTTTCAGTAACTCAATAAATATTGGGTTTGTTTGTTAGATCATTAAATTTATATACATACAAATTATACATGTGCCTGTTATATAGCATACAATACTTAGCTTTTCAAATAAAGGACAGGTACTGTTATAAAATGTTGATTTTTTTAAACAAAAAACAAACAAAAAATGTGTAGTATGTAGTAGTAGTAAAGTGTAATATCTACGTGGACCAACTTTGAGTCCTTGACCCACTGTTGGAGGACAGTGGTTTATACTTTGTTAATACAAAGGACATTTGGTTATAGGCCAGTTGAAACGAGTTGTACTACTTGTAATTCAAGTTAATGGATGTAGTGCTTAGGTTGGATTGAAACCCAAAGAAAGGCTGAGCACTATTAGCTTAGCCTAGTTTTTTTTTTTAAAGATTTATTTTTGAAATTACTTCATACTTGTGTAACAGAATGCAGTTTATATTTACTTGAGACAAGACTGCATGCATACAGTTGTATTCTTAAAAGAACCATGCAGCGAATATGTATGTTTTTTTTCTATGTGAAAAGGAAGGTGTGGGGGAAAAAAATCCTTTATCATAATATGTATCTACATGACCCACTTTCATGAACCAACCCACTGTGTCAGAAACTTTAAATGTGCCGCCTATAAAAAAAATGTTGAATTCTTAACTGTTCCAGGTGCACCAAGGTGTGATTCAGGAGTGTGGTGCCAAGACCAGGATCAGCCTGTTCATACAGGTAGCCATGTGTCTGTCCAACATTACCTGCTGTCTGGACGCTCTGTGCTACTACTTTGTTGCTCATGAGGTGAGGAACACCAAGAACACCCTGAGAAAGTCAATGATCAGCCAGAGAAGAGCAACTTCCAGCACTTCAGAGGTCTGAACTGCGGCCAGCTCCTCGTCATCCAATCTGTCTTCTTTAGGTTCTGCAGCGATAGCAAGGACTGACAGATTTATGATGGGGTCCAGCGACAGGAAGTCTAGGTTAACCTGTGACCTAAAAACCCTGCAATGATTTCTGCAGAAGGAGGCGATTCACCAACCGACCACAGCGGTGTGAAGAGAGAGCATGAAAAATGTTTCAATGTACTTTCAGATCCTGCTCAGTACTCAACACTGACGACACTGTGGGCTGCACTTATACCTTGAGCTCCAGCAGTGATTTCCTTAGGTGAAAAGCGTCGTTAAATTATGCAAAATGTCTCTTTGATGACAAGGTCTATATATATATCATAACTTATTTTTAGAATGAAAGTGGACTCCTTGTCATTGTGACATTGTGACACATCACTGCACACAATGAAATGTGATCTCTGCATTTAACCCATCAGCAAAGTAAACAGTGGGCAGCTTTTTTGAACACCCGGGGAGCAGTGTGTGGGGACGGTGCCATGCTCAGAGCACCTCAGTGGTAACTTGGCAGCTGGTGCCTGCAACCTTCCAGACCCAAGTCCGCTTCCTTACCCACTAAGCCACCACTGCCCCTTTTTCTCGTATAATAAATGTATTTCAGTCTTTTTTTATAGGGCAATTCTTGTCCAATAGCATTATCTTTCATAATTATTTGTGTAAATACAATAACCATTTTAAATGTAATGTAAAATCAAAAATGTGCAATGTGACATCTAGGTACAATATATGTGCAACAATAGAAATTGCTGGTTACCTATTTCACTTAAATGTTTATTGTAATATTTTTGTGCATTATTTTGAGGATGAAAACTATAAGCTTTTAGAAGCATGTTGTTATAAGTCTGACCATGACACATTTTTGTTATTTTGTTTTAATTGTACAAATATAGTAATAGTATACCACATTATTCCTATCTGGAGATTTTCCTTTCACAACATCAACCTATTTTGACAAATATAAGTTCTGCGGTGAATGAAATGTGTGACTGGTGGTTTCAGGGACAGTGACACAGACAGGGGATCCTGTAACCCTGGGGTTCAAATCCCTGGTCGGTCATGAAAGTTCTGAAGAAACACCTACAACCTCGTCCAACAAGGGATTTGATCCCATGCTCTCAAGTTCCATTGTCTGTGTCTCTACCACTGAGCTAAGCAGCCACAGATTATGTTTTTCGAGAAACTCATATTTGTCACTTGTATTTTGGGATACATGAGTTTCCCCAGGAGTAAGGTAAGTGGCTGCTTAGCTCAGGGAGATAGGTTCCCCAGGCATTGTCTAAGAGCATGGGTTCAGAACCTGGAAAAGGTTGAATTTTAGTTATGCTTCACAACTTTCAGGACAAATGAGTTTTGCAGAGAATAAGTTATGTGGTGAAGTAGGTTAAAATGGAATAAATAAATTCTTTTTAAAATAATCATTTAACATTAACACAGTAAAATCAGTCAATATGAAAATAATATGGTCATTTAACAAAAAAATAATAATTTACTATATTAATAATAAAGAAGTTTTCAGGTTCCCCAGTCTGTGTCACTGTCATTGAGCTAAGCAACTACATACCTCATGTTCTGGGAAACTTGTTTCCGCTCTTTTCTGCCTCTGCACCTTCCACTTGTGTCCACTGTGGGGCTAGGACCCTGGCACACATTTCTCACTTTTTCCGGGGATTTCTGCTCTGTGGTTTGCATGTTGTAGCTTATGCTCTCTAGCTTAGACGGGTGTTGAACCCACATTCTCAGGTTCCCCAGTCTGTGTCACTGTCATTGAGCTAAGCTAGATAATAATAATAATAAAACAGTAAGATGAGTGACGCTGATTCCAAAGCCCACAGGGTGGGTTTAAGTCTGGGCAAAGAATGAGAGTAAATAACAGACATGAAGTATTTACAGTACCAGGATACCAGCAAGAGCTAGGCAATTTCTTAGGGTCTGTTTTATTTACCTGAATCATCAGGCAAATAAAACAAAACATACAGTATATACTTTGCATGTTCTTCCTCCAGACCTACTACTAATAACAACTTGCATGAATTGGAATTTAGGAATTTTAGGAAGTCTGTAACATATCCCAAGACAAATTTGCAAACTTACAATTGGTTGGCATTTTTCTCTAAGAAGAAAAGTTCTTAGGTTACTATTTTAACTGAAAAAACCCTTACAAACTCTGATGTTACACAGCATCTGCAACTAAGTCTTACGATGCTAAAGGTAATATTGATGTTAAAATATGAATCTCAAGCAAAATACAAAATAAAATTATGTCCACAGTTTACTCACTTTAACATGTTCTCAAAATTGTTATTGACTGGCCTTACCTAAAATCCATAGAAAAATCAATGAACTAAACTAAAAAAAAAAAATACAGGGTCTTTATATTTCCTTTTCCTCCTTTTTTTATTAAGATCCCTGCTCGTTTTCAACAGAGGAAGACACAAACGGTGTATGTCTCTTAGTTTCTCTCTTACGTTCTCTTCTTCCCCACAGTGAGCGGAAGCAGGAGCAGGACGAGGAGGGCAGCCGCTGCCTCCTGCTGTCACGTCAGAGCTGCTTTAACCAGCGCTGCTGCATCCGCTGCTGCCTGCCCTTTACCTTCTTGTTCAATCCCAAACACCAGTGTCAGGACTGTCGCTTCAATGTCTGCAAAGGCTGTCGGGTCTACAGCAAACAGGAGAAATGCTGGCTGTGCTGTGCATGCCAGAAGAGCAGGTGAGGTCAAGTGGTTTAGTACTAGCGTTAGTGGTAAGTTCAAGACGTTCAATAATAACTTACTGGACAAGTTGATATTTTTTGTTTGTGAAGATAATTCTACGAGTTTTATTGATTACTTTATTGTGCTGTCTCAGTGTCTCACCCCCTCTGTTTCTGTCTCACAGGCTGTTGAAAACACAGTCACTGGAGTGGTTCTACAGCAATGTGAAACAGCGCTTCAAGAGGTTTGGAAGTGCTAAGGTGCTGAAGACTCTTTATAGGAAACATCTGGCAGAACACGGCGCACTCTCAGAACTTACTGGTAAACACATGTTGTGGTTGATGGAATAAATATATGTATATGTATATATATATATACAGTATATATATATACAGTATATATAGTATCACAGAACACAATGTTGTATTCAGCAGAATTTTAAAGAATTTAATTATTCACACTTTCCGTCTCTTCCATTTCTCCGTGTGTTTGTGTTTAAGGCAGCGCCTATGAGGAGAGCGTCTGTGATGAGGGCAGTGTGTGTGAGAGTGACTCAACCTTCTGCAGACAAAGTGAAGGTTTAAGTCTTCCATAGAATTCTATGACATGAGTCAACCGACCGAACTTCCACATTTTTTTACAACTATTTTTTATTTATAAGAAATTAAGTAGGCCGCCATTTCTTTATAACAAATAACTAAATCATTTGTAATTTATAGGGTGTTGGAGTTTAAGATTTGAATGCTTAAATACATTTAACCATTTACATCTAATAAATTCATTATCTATAGGTACGTATATAAAAGGCTGCAGAAGCTTTGGCATCTGATTATTTGTTGATGATTATTCTATTCCCTTGTGTTCAGAGCACAGCACAGTGGAGATGCTCACTGTGGCCCTGCGAGTGGCAGAGGAGGCCATAGACGAAGCTATTTCTAAGGCAGAGTTTGAGTCTGCCAGTCAGG